TAGAAACAAAGAAATTGGATTTTCAACCAAAAATATCTACCATCAATAAATATTCACTTAGATTTTACACTTTAATAAAAGAAGAATAGATTGGGAACTAAGAGTTCAAGTTTCTTCATCATCTTTTTGAGATGCAGTAAGGTCTTTCGGACACTTTTTATGCTTGTATGTTTAGAAGCTTAGTTCATATCAGATTGAGATTGATATTTTAACTTTACAATTAGGTTAATAAATTTAATCATAATTTATTTCGTTATTTGTCATCTTTTGTATCAAACATAATAAAAAATTTTTTTTCTTCACATGTTTTCATTCCCTTTATTTTTTGTATCCCACATAAAAAATAATGTTAAGGAATTAAATTTAAGTCTCCAAGTTTGTGATATAAAAAATAATAATAATATTCTATAAAAAGTAAAGATTTATTTGGATCAATAATAAAATTAAAAATAAGAATTATTATTATAACTGTAATTAAAAAAAATATTATAATTACAATTAAAAAATTCATAAAAAATTATATTAAATAAATTTAAGTGAAATTAATATTTAAATTCAATTATACCCCGTTAAAAGTGCATTAAAATCCAGAATCCCCAATCAACCATTTTTCAATTGCTTTTAGCCGCTTTGAATGCCGCAAATCAAGCTCGATCTCTACCTCTCACCCTGATGACCAAATTTCACTATTTGAAGCACCGAGTTGCTTTTGATTCTCTTCTTCCCCACCTTCCCCAACATTCCAACGCTGACAAAATGGGAAAAAGGTGTTTGTACTGCTTCCGTGATGATGTTAAGCTCCAGTAGATGCCGCTTTCACTTTTGCATTATTTCTTGTCATCAGCAGTAATCAGCACTGTGAGCTTTTCTTTTCCTTTTTTAATTTGACTACCTTGTGCGTTTTGGGTGAGCGTTCTTTTGATGCTCAAACAAAATACAAATAAAAATTATGTAATGTCCCCACTCCCCAGTTTGCTAGCTCACCTTTACATGGATGGGTTCGGAAAATTTTTTTAAAAATTTTTTTTAACTGTTTATTTATAATATATATAAATTATCGATAAATTTATTAAATTTGTTAAAAAATTAAAAAAAAACCTTTTAAGTGTTAAAGACAAAATTTTTCTTTAAATTTATTTATTTTTTAATTATTAAGCATCTATGACATCTTGATAAAAAAAAGTAAATTATTTTGATGTCTATAATTATAAGTGATAATGGTTTAAATCGAATTTAGTTTAATTTTTTTAAATAATATTATATATTTTAAAAAATTATCTAAATTTTAATTGATTTTTTAAAAAAATTGGTTTAATTTGAATCAAAATCTATTGGTTCGGTTTGATTCACTTATCATTTTTTAAAATTTATTGTTTTGTTTTTTATATTATTTTAATATAATTTTTAATATATTTAAATAAATTTATAAATAATTATGATTATTTTTAATTCATAAAAATTTAAAAAATATATACTTTAATTTTTTTTAATTTTTCATATTTTAATCTAAAATTTGATCTAACTTAATATATATTTAATATTTTATTTTAATATGAATCAAATGAAAAAAATCAAATTGACCCGGAACTAAACATTAGAGTTTTGAATTTATTTTTTATTTTTTTGATTGTTTTTCATCCTATCCATAATAAACATGTTCTATCATTCTTGTTTATTCTTTTAAAGAACAATTTAATAGTTAGAATTTGAAATTTTAATTATAAGTTTTGGACTGGAATTTTGTGAAAAAGAAAAACATGTTCTTGGATCTTTCTATCATGCTCATCTTTACCAACTTCATTAATGACAAGCGTAGATTATTGATTAATCTTTAAAATCCCACTGCCAAATTGTAATTTTCCCAGTGGGGTAGTTCTACGATCGTCTCCTTTCAATTTTCTTTCGTTTTCCTTCTGTCCAACCACCTACAAAACTACAAAAATGTAAACAGAGATGATTTTGGCCGCCATAAAAGCAGCTTGGCGTTCCCTAATATTCAAAGAAATTTGAGTGAAAAAGTAGGATTTGTAAACGTACGGTTGATAAGCACCCTTATCCAATGGGGACCCTGTTCTTCGGCAAAATCACATGGGACAGAGCCTTACATGGACAATCCTTGGTGGATTCCCACCGGTCTTATCCAAAGTGTTGGATGATGATGTAAAGTTCAATCATTTTATTTTCTTTTTTCTTTTAATATCGTTTATTATTATTATTATTATTGTTGATGATAAAATTTTAATGTCCTAATCTAAGTTTTTAATTGTTTGTATTACTTAACAAGGTTAGAAGTATCCTTTACTTTTGTATAAATTATTTTAATTTTTTATTTGAATGATCTTAAAATTACATTTTTTTATTTTATGCATTTAAATTTTAAATTTTTAAATATTTTTTGTAAGAACTGAATTTGGATTGATAAATGAAGAGAAATTCTCTTCCTACCATCATAATTGACATTTATGATTTGGTTAATGACTATTACTTTAATTATCAACAAGTGATTAGTTTAATCGATTAAAATCGTTCTTTTCGATGAAAAGATTTTGAATTCGAATTTTATCAGTGGTCATTTGGAATATACGACTTGCTATCAGTGATTAGTTTAATCGGTTAAAATCGTTCTTTTCGACAAAGAGATTTTGAATTCGAATTTTATCGGTGGTCATTTGAAATATACGACTTGCTATCAGGTATGACAGCAACTTATCTACTCTCGAATTTTTTTTATAAAAAAAATCAATAAAAAAAAGATAATAAATGGAAAGAGAGTTATTGATTTTAATGTATTACATATGGCCTTTCATGGTGGATTTTAAGTGCACTTTTGATTAAGAAAAAAAAATCTTTAAGTCTTCAACTAATCACTAAATCAAAGAAACTAGCTTTATTTATTCACTAAACTAATCTTCTTTTTTAATAATTTTAAGAGCACATTTCTACATTGATATAATGTATTAAAGATTTAATTTTTGAAGTATTTCTTGTAAGAATCCAACTTTGATGAAAAAAAAAAATCTAATTTTTTACCAACTAATTTAACTTTTGTAGGTTTTTGTGATTTTCTTTGCTAGAGTGGTAGATTTTTTTGTTGGATCACTCTCAATTTGTGCTTTGTGATGTTCATGCAATAATAGTAAATTAAATATATATTTGAAATAAATATAATTTTATCCTTATATTATAATTCGATATTGAATTTTATCATTATATTTTAAATTATGTTAAAATTTATTACGATAAATTTTTTATTTACTTTTAAACAAAAAATTCCAAAACCCAACTAAACAACTCAGGTAACTTTTTTTTTTTAATTTCTCTCAAAATATAATATTGATAAATAAATACACAAATTATATCATTTTAAGCCACATTGCCAATTGGAAAAGGGACAAAACAAAACCCTTACCCCCAAATCAAGTAAAGAAAGGTTAGGTTTTTGGCTGCAATTCTTGAAGCTGATAATGTTGATGTGGTAGGGTACTAAAAGCAAAATATTATTACCACTTACATAAGAAGTAGTAGTTGTAGTGGAAATCTATGTGAAAAGTTTAGTTTATATATCATCAAAAGCTGAAACCTAAACATTTTCTTTTCCTTTTTTTTCTCATATTTTTCCTTCAATTTTCATGGTACAAAGTGGATTAGCTAAAACTAGTTTTTTTTTTTTTTCAACCAAAATTTTCACTAAAATTATACGCTTTTCCATGTCAGCATGAAGGGTAAATTAATACTTCCTCTATCTCATTTTCTATTTGGAATGTCCCAAAATTATGTCATTTTTTTAAAATATCTAAAATATTTATTTTTTTATATTTTAAAATTATTTTTATGATTTTTTTATTTTTTTGATATTAAAAATCATGAAATTTTAATTTTATAAAAAAATTTAATTTTGATATTAAATACATTAAAATCAATTTTTTTTTTTAAACTTCATAAAAGTCAATAGCTCTCAAATAATTTGAGACAGAGGGAGTAGATGTTAGTGACCATTAGGCAGTAAGTTGATAATTTAATTTAACATTTTGATGTAAGGGTAAGGTTTTAAGTGGTCAACCAATCAAAATTAGGTAGATATATAATTGTTTTCTTTTTGCTGCTTTTCATGAAATATTTATTATATTAATCTTGTTTTGCAAGGGCAAAGTCATTAGTAGATCCTTTTTTTTTTTTTAATAAAAAAAGGATCATTTTGAATATTAAAATTCGAATTATAAATTTGATGAATATTAATTTTATAAATTTATAAATCAATTAAATTAAATTCTAATTAAGTTTATTACAAAATGTCTACGTACTTCAACATATGTTTCATGTGATATCATATCCTCATATTTTAAGCTTTTATTAGTCACTCGTCCTATCTTGAGGATAAGATTCTAACAATGCTGAAAACATGGATTCCGTTGTTTTCTAACGATGTGTCTCTCATGTTCCATATCTCCTATGATATTTTTATTCAGTAGTATGAAAATTTTGACCACTTTGGCTAGGAAAATATAGGGTTACTCAATATAAATCCGAGTTTATCGTTATTGCTTTTCAATACACTCAATTTTATATTCATGTATGTGAAGAAAAAAATCAACATCATCGTCGTCATCATCATGGATTATCAATTGAATATAAGTATGAGCTTATCATTTGTTTTTCTTTTATTAACCATTGTGGTGAAAATTATACACTTTTGTTATCATAAAGCATCGGCCTTGCTACTTTATATAATAGAAACTAATACTACTACAATTTGTTAGTGCCCACGAAAAGGTAACAATTCAATGACTAAATTGAAATAAACTTTCAATTTCATTGTCAATTGTTAATGTTCTTGGACCACAAAACGAAAATTTTTTAGTGTCCTACTGCCACCTTCCTTTTCTTTATTTATTTTTTATTTTCAATGAAATTTCCCTGAAAATCTGTAGTATGAAGTGGATGAGATTTTTTTTTTTTTATCAGCTGGGTTTTCTTGTAGTTGAAAATGTAAGGGAAAACATATAGCCCAATCTCATTGGGCCTGCCAATGTCACACGTGTGCATTCTGGCACTTGTGAAGCTCACTTCATGATCTAAAGTCTGGCTTGACTACCTAAATTTGAATAGCGAGAGCATATCCATTTTCCCTCCGAAAAAACGCACGAGCATGAGCTGATAAAAAATGGGAAGGGAAGGCGACCAAGTGTTTGCAAAAATGCTAACGAGAAACTCCGTTTCTAAAGCCCCGCAACCCACCCCTCTCCGTAGATCCCCAAGGCTTCTCAATCAAAAGACTCCCACAAAATCAAAAGATTTGAATGCCCCAAAGGGCAAATCCAAGGAAAACCCCTCTTGCTCCACGGAGAAAATTCCCAAGAAAGCGGTAAAACCAAGTAAAGGTTCAACAAATTGTGTGAATTCAACGTCTCGGTTTCGAAGATCTCCGAGATTGAACAGTGTATCAAGTAAACTTTCAACAAATGGTGTGAATTCGACGCCTGGGTTGCGAAAATCTCCAAGATTGAACATTGGATCTTTGTCTAACAAGCCAGAGGAAAGCAAGTTTGTGGAGACAAAGAAGGTTGAATGTAGGAAAACCAATGGAGGATCGTTGGATGATGAGAAAAGGAAAGTGGAGAGGAAGGCAAGGGAACTTTGTGTTGGTTTGAATGCGGTTGTGGATGAAAGGAGAGAACTTTGTGAAATAAGTGAAGATGTTGGGGTTGAGAGAAAGAGGAAGAGGAAGCCGGGCGAGAGAGGTGATGCGAATGATCAAGGTTGGACAAGGGATCAAGAATTGGCTTTGCAAAGAGCCTATTTTGGGGCCAAGCCCGCGCCTGATTTTTGGAAGAAGGTTTCAAAGCTGGTATGTTTTCCATTCCTTGATATCCTGATTTTAATTTCTTGGATTTTTATTGCATAATGTTGTAGATTCTTTGAATTAGGGATTATAACTTTGTGATGAAAAGCTCCATTCTTGCATTGTTCTATTCTTTTTTTTGAGAATGCCTAAGTTAAAGAAAGAAAAAAGAGCAATTTAGCACAATTAAATCTGTTTCTGAAGTTTCTTCAACAAAACAACTTTCATGCTTATTGGTTGATAGTTACTGTCTCAGTGAAATTCATCTCAATTTTTTTCTTCATTTCACTTTCCATCTACTAACTTTAGTTTTATCTTGATGATCGCTGTAATGCTTACATTTGAGGTCAAAGATCAAGGAGGTAAAAGTAGAGGTACTAGTTGTTTTATGGTGAAGCTTCTTACCCACTGATTATTCTTAAAGCTAAAAGCATATGTGTATTTATGATGTTTTCCAAAATATACTAAGGGTGAAATTTGGACTTATAAGCTGCTTGTATGTTTTGTGTGTTTCCTATATGTTGAATATTGTTTAATTATTCATGAAAATGCATATTGTTATGAACTTAGGATTTTTTTTTTTTATGATTTGACATTGTCTCAGTCATGCTTGGCATTTTATCTCAATAAAATAATTATTTGGTTATGCTAGAATCATGTGTACTGCTAGTCTAGTTCTGCAATTGGAGTCCCTGAATTAGGGCTATTTGAGTGAGAAACAGATCTGCCATTCCAAAGTTGGTTGAATATCTATGGATAAAATATTGAATATAATCTGTTGCTTCACTGTCAAGTTTTGTCGTTATGGAAAACATAACATTCTATAAAGGAAAGGAAGGAAAATCAATTATAACTCTACAGCATTACATTCAGTTTTGTTACATTATGCTCCGTTTAGATGTGAATGACTATTCATAAATTTATGCTCCATTTGGTTGGTGCTTTTGTTTTTTATTTTTTTGCTATTTGTCCCTTATTTTTAGTTCTTTTTTATTTTATTTTATTTTTACTTTCTATTGGAAAGAGCAAAAAAGTAGAAGTACAAACCAAATGGAGCCTTACTAATTAGTTTCTACCTACGTAAATCTAATCTTATCCAAAGATTTCCTGCTGTGATGCATTTTGGTCTCAAATAGTCTTGCATTTGCTCGTATGCTTTAAGTTTTGGCTTATATACTTTATATGCTGAGTCGTTTACCTTTAATGAAATTTTCCAATACTCAGAACTTAATTACCGGTCAAAAATCTATTGCAGGTGCCAGGAAAATCTGCACAGGATTGCTTTGATAAAATCCACTCTGACTGTTTAATGACAATTCAACCCCAGCCTCGGTCCAGGGAAAAAAGAAGGAACTTGTCGCCCATCGAACTTTTGTCATTGTCTGCAAGCAAACCGCTTAAACGCACTACGCCTAGGAATAAAAGGCCAACGTGCAGTAAACAGAAAATCCATCTTGTACAGAAAAAAATGGTGAGACATTTGTTGCAAAAGCATTATCATGTGGTCCAAGGTGATGAAGCAGATCTGTTCTCTATTCTTGAGCCCGAGACAAGTCCATCTATGCATATGCTTCCAAATGTTATGCTTTCCACCCCAAAACCTTTATCGGAAAAACAGGGATTTCTCCAGAAGTGTCATGAGATATCTTCTCCTGGTCCTAAGAAGCACCATTCAAAACTTGGTAACTCTTGTACAGGAGCCCTTATTAGTCCCCCAGTATTGAAGCAGATTAAAAATAGGGTCTTACATGAAAAGTACATTGACCAGCTACATAGCAGGGAAGCTAAGAGAAAAGCACGGGCAGAAAAAGAAGTTTTTGGGCAGGAGAATAGGGAATCTATTCAAATTCAGAAAATCGATAAGGTTAGAGCAGCAAAAAATGCATTGGTTTCTGATGCAAGATATGTTATTAACCAGCTACAACATCAGCAGACCTCTAGTGTTGACAACTCTTTGGATTTGGATTATGATGATTATGATGATAATGATGATGAAGGTGAAGTTCAGCTTTAACATTTCTTTTAGTTGTATGAAACTCTGATGTAAATAGCTTGCTAATTATGGCTGTCGTATGTAGCTGCTGACATTTGAACCTCTTGTTTAGCCACATTCCAGTTATGGAGATTCTATGTTGTAAATTTGTTTCTAATACTAATCTCATTTTTTTCTCTAACTTTTTCGGGCATTAGGAAGGGTTTCTGATAGATGTTAAAGGTTCCACAACTGGTGTTTTGTATGCTACGACAAATGGGAGAATGTTAAAAACATTTGCAATTGAATTTTGTCATAATTAATACTACTATGAAGAAATTGTGTACCTGGTAAACGAAAATTTAGACAAAAAAAATGAAAAAAAGATAAGAGACATGTACTTTAGCAAATGGGGACAAGTTACAAATTCAAGTACGACTACAATATTGGTATTCTTCTATAAAAAAGCTTTGTGATTTGCCCAAAAGAAGAGAATAAACAGAATAACAAAGCAACATAATTATCTTAACCAGCCCTATTCTTTCCTTGGTGGTTGTACACGTTGTTACCTTAACCGAGTGAAGTGAGAACAAAAAATAAAGCGAAGATGAAAAGAATAGAGAGTTCATCTTAGTTCAAGGAATGTAGCAGTAGAACTCTAAACATGTCAATGCATCTAAAATCTAGCAACCTAAAGTTGCCTATATGGCATTTTAAATAGTAGCAGTCTTATTCCCTGATCAGTTAATTCTAATGCAGATTGCAGCTAAACATCAGCAACTTATAGAATTGTTAAGAAAGTTTATATGAGACTTAACGTGTCACTTAAAATGGATTCCCTTTCAGCCCTTGTCTAGTATGTTCTTGGTAGGATGTCTGAAAATGATAGGGTCTTATTCTGTGAAAATGCTTTGATATTTGGTTACCACTTTCCGTTTCGATTATGGAATGTAGATTTAAGAATTGTGGAAATCTGGAAATCATGCTTCTAGGAATTATTCTATGTGAAACAAATAAACCATGATATGGAAAAGATTGCAACACATTTAAGACTACAGAAGATTTTACTAGTAGTTCTAGTTTCTAGCTTCTGCAACAAGGGATTCTGTATACTGAATTGCTGTTACTGATTCTTACTGTGCAGTATGCAGAGCATCAGATGCTTATTATAAGGCTGCTCTTCTACTGCAACTAGATTCTCTTGCTATACATGATTTCAATGTGGAATCTATGTTTCTTGTAAGCTTTAAAGGGTTCCACCTCTGTAGCTGATTCCTCTCCAACATACCTAGGTAACCTTCTTGATTTAGTTTAATCATAATTTGTTGAGCAAGGAAAAAAAAAGAGAAACCATGCTGAGAATCAATATTTCTAGGTACAGAATTTCACACTGGAAAACATAACATTCTCTCCATTGTTCTTGCTCTCTATCTCTCTCTGTCTTAGTCATTATGTACCCTTTTATGTCATCATGCTTCTGCTGAATACAAGATTCAGCCTTGCATTTGGACATCTTGATTGTGGCTAACGGTTAAAATGCTACTACCACTACATTTGGTTAGATTAGTTTAAAATTTCTAATTTTATTTGTACCAAATGGATTGACAATAAAAGAGGGAAAAAAAAAAAAACAGAAGAAAATAGGATTTATAACAAGAAAAGTGAGTTTGCACATGTGCAATGGTTGTCACGGGCTTAGATTGCATTGGTTTAGTGGCATGAAAGAAGTCAGTAGTCACAGTTTCTTTCTCTCACTGCTTAATAATGAAATTAGTAATTAAACTGACATAGAGAGAACTGCTATTAGGACCAAAAAGTGGGAAAAGAAAACTTTGAGAAAGTAACCTATTTCAGATGAGTATCCTTATTAACTGTTGGTCTATTGCTGATGATTTCATTTGTAGAAATGATGTTATTGATGTGTCTATTTGCTTTTCCTGGTAAGCATCGCTTAGCAATAGTAGCATATCAGATAATTTTCAAGACTAGGGCCAATAGGTCACCATCTATTGCCAATCTGAATTTCAATTATTGGTTGGTTTCTGCTGCAGTAATAGGAAATGAATGATTGAATTTGTAAGTTTAGGCAAAAAAACATTATTAGACCACTAATTTCTGCAAACATTTGCTCTGAATACATTCTTATTCCATTAAAAATAAAAAAAAATTCTTTTTTTTTTCAACTTAAAAAAAAAAACTTTTTTCGACCATTTAATATCCACCTATTGGAATAATTTTAGAGGAATAATGTTAGATGCTCCAACATGGGGTAGATAATTCATGGCAGGTTGTGAGATGGAACTGATGAACGAACAGTGCTTATTAATAAGAAAATGCTGTTACAGCTTCTCATTAGCAAATCCTTGAAGAACAAATACAGAGAAATTCCAATCTCTTTAGGGCTTTGTTTGGATGATAATCTTATTCTCCTTGTTATTCTACAGACATCTTCCTCCATAGCCTGCATTTCTGAATAATGCTTGCTTTATGTCTTCAGAACTCATCAATGTCCTTTGCTCTGCTACCTAATATATTAGAAGAAATACACATTATTGAAGAAAATACTGGTGAGTTTAAGACTTTCACATCAATGTAAATTCAGAAAATTAAGAAAAAGAAGCTTACCTCTGAACAAGAAGCTTGCATTGAAAAATCATTGAAGCAACTAATTACACACTGTTGAATCTCAAGGCCTAGTGCTTCCAATGTGTTTACTGTAGATAGGAGCAATCCTGGTTTGGTTGAGCAGCAGATATCAATTCGGGTATCGGTTTCTCTCCTCTCTACATCAAACTGTGTTTTCATTACATGAAAAGAAGTTCAATAGAGGAACAAAGTCTTCAATTACTTGTTCATTTAATGGTTAATGCAGAACTAAAGCAGAAATCTCTACCTTGGGGGAATTTCTCACCAATACTTCATTTGGCTTTAGCTCCTTCAGGTTGCTCATCAAACTCACTTGATTACTACCCACTTTTGTTTCTTTTTCCTGCAGCTTATTGATCCTTTCTAGAAGCTCTTTCATGTAATCTATGGCATCTCCAAGTATAGATGTTCTGTCCATCTGCTAATGTTCACATTCTTCTGTTAGTTGCAGAGCTCTTTCAACGTTACCAAAAAAAAAAAAAAAATCCTGCTTGCTTTAAAAGATAGCATATATATAACTGAAATGCTACCAATATAATATTTTACTATTATGCTAAAAATGAAACTTTTAACAAATTAGAGAAAACCAGGGTCACCTTGCTGATCTTGGGTACTATTGATCTGAGCATTGAAAGCCGGTCATTTAGTCGCTTCCTTCTCCTTCTCTCCGCCATGAGATTTTTTGAGGGCTGACCACTTAATCTCTTTGTCTTAGTCTTTTTCTCTTCAAACAAGCCCATGTTAAAACCCTGAATGTTGCTGGTTTGCTCCATCTCAACTTTGCAGCTACTCTTTCTTTCTCCCAAGCTGTGTTGACAATCACTGCTGAGAAGACCAAACTCTTCATCATCAACCATTGATGGGTAGTCTTCTTGAGCAGCTGGAAAAGGAGATGTGTCATTCTTGGTATATGAAGAATCCAACCCTGGCACTGTAAATCCATCAGCAAAGGGGTAGGGTTGATCACTGAAAGGACATTCAAAGCTGGGGTTTTCAGTGGGTGTGGAGAATCCTACATAGGAAAGATTTGATGTAGCCAAATTTGGATTCTCATCAAAAAAATCAAAGTTCCATCCATTAGGGAGGAACTCAGTCACCCCAGTTGAAAAAGTGGTCCAGCTGTCTCTTCTTGGAGCCATTAACTCCTCCAAGAAACCATGCTGTGAGAGCTCCATTTCTCTCTCCCTCTCTTTGAAAAAAAAAAAAAAAACTCTCTATGAGAACTGATCCACACAGAAAAGCTGAATAATATGAAGTTGCACCAAGTTAGAATATATAAGTAAATGATACTAGTTTCTCATTATAAATGCATTACACCAAAAAAAACCTAAAGATTAAAAATGGGAATCTGCTTCTTTCTACCTCTCAAGGTGAATTCATGTCTTTTTCACCGGAATTATTACCAATCAGACAAACTTAATATTTTAATTCCCATCCCCCTGAAGAGCTTTGACCCACAAACCTGTCTTAACCGAAAAACGATGGCTTAGCATCATACTCTGTCAGCTTCTTTTGTTCATTTCATAACGCTTTTTTATTAGTATTATTACTACTAATATGATCATCAGAAAATCAGAAATAATGCAAACTTTTTCTCTTTCTGTCTCTTTCTTTCTATTGCTTATTTGGTATCATAAAGGAAAAAAAATAAATAATGTTTCTTCATCATCAGGTCCCATGCATCAATGCCCCATAAACATAGGCTTGATGTGCCTTCCGGGTTGTTCCTTTTTCACTTTTTTCTCATGGCTAGGGAGAGAAAATATTATCCCTAAATTGTGTCTTTAGTTTGACATTAACAATTAATTAATGCTATATTTCTTTCTTTCTGGCCACTTGATATTATCCAAATTCTATTTGACCCTGTAAAGGAAAATGACATCAAACAAATTTCATAGGCATATATGCTATCTTCTTTTGCAATCAAACTACAACAGAATACATATATAATTTCATAGGCATCTTTTAGGAAAATAAAATTGGTATTTATTATAACTTTTTGTTTTTACTTTCAAATGCTTTTAGATAAATTTATGACTCACCATTAATGTTTTATATATATAGCAGTAACTTCAAGCCTTTTTTTTTTTTTTGGTGCTTCTTGATCTAGTGACAAAAAAGCCTAAAGGAAGACATTAGAGTATGAGTTTGAACTAAGCCACCCCCTTCTCATTTTCATGTAATAGGACGTTGTCTTTCTTTGAACCAAAAAAAAAAAGAACTTCAAGCCGTTTTTTAGGTTACTGAAAAACCATTCCATTCAGGGGAGAAAGTTGATCAATTTGAACAACAAAATTTTCAATTCCCTTTCCTTGATATAAACACAAATTGGAGTACAATCAATCAAGCGAAACTTACTAGAAAAATGTGTAACTATAATTTTTTTTATAAAAAACAATATATCTTGCTAATTACACTCGCGATAAGATACCATATATTAAATATAAGTATGTGTTCGATATAAATATTTTATACTATTGATAATTTTTTACATTTAGAATCAAAGTTCATATATGAATAGTGAAGTGTTCATCAAATGTCGAATATGGATATGCATTTAAGGGTACAATGAAGAGTTTGAATAACTAAGGGAAGAAATCATAAAATTGTAGATATTCGAATCATTAGTGATTTGGGCGTGAAGAAACATGGAAGCGTGTCGGATATTGGGAGCTAGCCAAATCACCTACATATATTATTACAGCAGTCGGAAGCACATGCCAAGTAAAATAATAACAAAATAAAACAAGCAAAGGCTGCATCACCTAGAAAACCTAAGTTGTCTAACTGCTTATTGACAGTGCCTGGGGAGGACTGACGAGGCCTCCCTGTGAACCATATATGATACTTGAATCAACCATTTTTATGTGTCAACCTAATTAATTTTCGACCAACATTTTACATCATTTATCCAAATCCCAAAGGTAAAAGAACAGGAACATGTCACCATGATTTGTATGCTTTAGCTGTTTCATTGGTGATTTGCATCAATAGGGACTTCAAATAGCAGGGAAATAATGTCTGGAAGAAGGAAGAAGAGATTGCAGCTTTATGCATAGCAGCCTGATTGTAAGCTGATAACTGATCAATTTCAGAAGAGTCGGTACCATCTTAATACATAAATTTAATAACTAATGAGTTGTTCTATTATTCACAATAATGCTGTATCATTCTGAGTATATATAGATAATAATGGTCCTTTTTTTTTTTTGCATATTTTCCAAATATAATGAATTGCAGTGTTCACTTCATATGTAATATTTCTATACTTCTTTTAATTAGTTTTCTTAATAATAATTCAAATGTAGTCTAAAAATTCTTTCTCTTTCTTTTTATGTATGCACTTAAAAACATCTAGCAAGAAATATATATTTTTTATATTTATGTATTTAATATTAGAGTTGATTTCGGAATTGAGAGTCTCAAGTTTGAATGTTAATCTTGACATAAAAGATAAAAAAATTGAAAATACAAAATATAGATATTAGTTTTTAATATATTAAATTTTATAACTATCAACTATTATATTTATTATAAATACCAACAAGTGGTTGGTTCAATCGATTAATATCATTTTTCTCGATAAAAAGGTATTAAGTTCAAGTCTTGTTGGTGGCCATTTGTTTGAGTCATTTCGAATGCACGACCTGCAGTCACTTATCTTAAGCTGTTAGGTATGACATATCTTATCCTGACTTGAGGGATTGAACAGTTTATCTACAATTAAATTTTTTTTTAATTATTATAAATTTAATTTTAATTTTAAAAAAATACTAAAAACACGAGTTAGTAAAATGTAACAAAAAAATATTTTTTGAAGAGACATAATCAATTTTACTTTATTGCAACAAAATAAAAAAAGTAGTTTTTGGAATTTCTAAGAGGCAAAATCATAGGAAACACAATTGTCAAGTAGCATGACAAGGGACAAAATGAGGAAGCCCAAGACCCATGTGAATCTTCTTACCTTAAAACAAGTGGCATTTTATTTTCCATCTGTTAAGCAACTTTCAATCTTCCATATAAGCCAAATTCTAGCTTATTAGCTTTACTAAAATATTACCTTTCTTTTTTCTTTTTAATATACCATAAATAATTATTTTTTGTCTTTCAAAGTATGGTAGGCTGTCAAAGGAATGTGACTATGATCCAAATTGGCAAAATTTTCATATCCCATTCAGTTTGATAAGAACTTTTGACTTACCCCACTCACTAATAGAGAATATTTTAATTCCTTTCATGAATTGAAATTTTTGTTTTTTTTTTTCTTTACTTTTATGCTCTTCCCTTAATAGTTAATATAAAAAGTTTATTTATGTTGTCCACTATCTTTTAAATTAATTGGTATGTTATTAAAGTTAATATTTAAAGGTTATTAATTTGAGAGAATTTATATACCTAATATCTTTTTCAGTTAAGTATGTAGTAACGTAATAGGTTTAAGGATATATTAGAAATTAAAAAAAAATTTATTTATGTTCATTAAAAAGTACATTTCTTAAAAAAAAAATTAAGCATATATATATATATATATATATATATATATGAAAAGTAGGTAGTTTGATGATAGGAAAGTATATATGCTTTTTCAATTCACTTTATTAACATAAAAAAATTTTAAGTCAAAATTTATATACTAAATTTTCGTGTTATAAATATTTTTAAATTTCAAGTTAAAAGATAAGGTTGAAGCTTTTATATAAAACTAAATACCAAAATCAAACAAAACTTATATATAGTTAAAACTTTGAAATTTAATGTTAAAATTATTTTTTAAGAAAATTAATATAAAAAGAAATAAATTATTTTTCATATTAAATAAAAAGATTGAAGTAACATATAAATATTAAGAAACGTAAACTTAGGGGAATAAATGAATCAAATGTAAATGAATTTTATTATATTTGTAATTTGTTTGTTTAATTAATAAATTTTGAAATATTATTTGTAATTATTTGTTAAGTTTAATAAACAAATAAAAATCAAATTTATTAGTGAATTATTCATCAAACGCTATATTCGATTACACCTTCAAAAAAAAAATATAAATGAATTAATTAATAATAAAAAAAGAAAGCAATGAAGATTGTGCTTTTTAAAGTATTGTTTTTTTGTTTTTATTAAGAAAGCAAAAAATAAGAATAAACATATATAGTTTAGATTCCTTAAAAATGGTCAAACATAAACCAGAGTTAATTAAAGAAATGATATTTCGAATGTTTTTGTTTTCGGTAAAGGAAAATACAGAATAGAATAGAGATCAAGATTTGGGGAAGAAATTTGAATGCCACACATATTTTCTTATTTCCATATTCCCGACAGGAGCAGTTAGGTAGGGCTTCATTGAACTGCTTCTCTTACCGAATCACTATATAAATTAATGTTGTTTTAATAAAATCAAACATATTTGACTTTTTTTTTGAAAAATTATAATTATAATAAACAATTACATTCTTAATATATTATTAAATAATTAATTAATAAATTAAAATATAATTAAATAATCAAACCTACATACAACGAGATTTAAACCTAAAACCTTAAAATTCTAATACTTCTTCCTTACTATTAAACCATGATTTCTTTAACGTATTTGATTATAATTTTAACTCAAATATTTGTATATAAGGATAATTTAATTTGTAATCAGTAAGCTGGGGTTTCACATTAGTTACTGAAATTATGAGAAGTTTCATATTATTTTTATTTAAAATTATCAAAATTCTAATCAATGAGATTATAAATCCATCATTTTATTAACATATCATGAGACTGTTAACTATAAGTTTTATACTTCATTCTCTCATTTTTCACATTATAACTTAAAATAAATCAAAATCTCCTATCTCTCATTTTCCTCACTAACCATCATTGATTTTCCTTGCTAAAAGACAATTGAACTACGAGCAATTATTAAAGAGTAGTATTTAGTATTTATATATTTGGGTTTTGGAAATGGGGAGAGAAACGAATTAGTATTTTATAATTTGAGTTGGCCACAATTAGAATCTCTTGTGAAAAGACCACTGATCTACACCTCTTTATCTCTCCTAAACCGAGGGCCTTGTTTCATTTTGTTTTGTTTCGTTTTGTTTCTTTCTTCTTCGAGCACCCCAAATCATTGCCTTTTAGTATAATTAGTATAGTACCAGTATTAGTATAGAAAATGAATTGA